AACGCCAGTCTGTCTCTAAGGCAAGCCTGGGACCTCAAACTCAAGCTGGCCACAGTCTATTCATCCACCTTTCTCTCTCACTGCTGATGCTTGGTACTCACACTTTATCAGTGGTCACCACTGTTCCCTGCCTCTGGCCTTTGCAGACCGGCTCCTTCTGCCTGGAAGTCCCTTCCTGTTCCTTACCGTGTTTCTCTTCTCCATCTCAAAAACTCTTGCCCATCCTTTAGGCCTCCCTTCTTGGTGGGGTCTTCCCTAACCACCACAGGAAGTCTTGACTGTGGCTGTGTCCTTGTGCACCCTTTGGTGTCATGTTCAAAGCAATACACTGGCTTTTGCAGGATTGCTGTCTGTCTCCCTACCTGAGCTCCTTAAAGGTAACTTCTTTTGCTTCCCTGCTCAAGTCCACAGAGGATCATCTGTAGCTGCTGAATGACTAAACAAACAAAAATTCCTCACAGAGCATGGGGAGCAAATGGGGTCTTTTTCATGCTTCTTTTATTTTCTTGCCATTATGTCTGTTATGTAAATATCCTTGTAAATATCCTTACCTCCTCCATCCATGGCTCCATTCTGCATCACTGCAATCCCAATATTCCAGTATCAGTGAGATCTGCCAAGCTGTCTGAATTCCTGCAGCCCATGGGGGAATCACAGTGGTGGTGGGGGGATCAGTGAGGGAGGTGACATCAGAGACTGGGTGCTGGGTCACTCAGACCAAGACAGAGCCAGGCCCATCCCCATGGAACATAAGACCCCTTGTTGGCCTTGTGGCAGAAGGAGGGGCTCCTCCAGGCTCATGCCAGCCTCTCTTTTGGGGTGAACAAGGCACTTTTATTATGGGCCTCTGTTTCTCCCCTCATTTCCAGCCAGGTGATGTCTCCTTTTGGTTGGTCAATAATGCTACCTGTCACCAGGTATTACACAAGGAGTATAACAAGAATCAGGTAAAGCCTGGGTCTCTAGCCTCTCTTTATACTGTTTCTTTTATTGATTTCCAAGGGTTCTGAATTCATCAGCATTTTGTTACTGTAAAGTTAGCCTTTGATATATGCTAACTTTATTGTGGGGAGCAGCTAAAGCTGGAACACATGTGTGGGGCTGAAGCAAGGCCCCACAAGGTGCCCAAGATCATGGGGTGCCCAACGTGAGCCAGGTGAACAAGGTGATCCAGCACCAAGAACATGAGGTGCCCAGAGTGAGCTAGACAAACAGATTATTAGGCAGAGCGCTTTCACCTGGCGTCAACCTGGACAGTGTATAAATTAAACCCATGGCAGTCTTCAGGTGGCTTCTTTTCTTTACCGCAAGAGGATCTACCAGACCTCAGCTTTCTGTGTTTTTGCTCTTGCCTTTATTTCATCAGAGTCCTTCCCCAGGAGTTTTTGAGAGCTTTGCTGGACGTGGCACTTTAAAAGGAAAAGAGGCTTATTTAGCTCCTGGCTTTGGAGGTTGAGCATCCACACAATTTACACAGGCTCTGATAAGGGCCTCAGGTTCTCAACTGCTTTGTTTCATGGTGGATGGCAAGTGATTACATCCTGAACAAGGAAGGAGAGAGAAGAAAGGTCCAGACTTGCTTTTTTCATAACTCCCCTTTCCTAGGAGCTGCTGGGGGGGGGGGTGCAGGAAAACCATCTTAATCTTCCCGAGGGCAGGGTCCCCAGTGAATTCCCAGTGGGCCCCATCACTTCAAGGTTCCTCCACTTCCCAGAACCACCACGTGGGAACCTGGCTTCCAACACATGGAGCTTCAGGAGCCACCCTCAGGCCGTAGCAGATCCTCCAGGCCATCTTAAGAGGAAGAGAGACTCGGAAATCGGAGGTCCCATCTACCACCTCCTTCCCCTCCCCTCAAGGCATCTTGAAATCATTCCACTGTTCCTCTCTCTGGCCTTGCCACCCTCATGAAATCATGTGCTGGGCTTGGTCTAGGAGAAGGAAGCAAGAGGCCCAGGGCTCAGTTTTTTCTTGTTGTTCTTGTTGCTTTGTGTGTGTGTGTTTTGAGACAAGGTCTCACTATAAAGCCCAAGCTGGCCTTGAACTCACTGTGTAGCCCAGGTTGACTCTGAACTCATGGCGATCCTCTTGCCTCAGCCTCCCTCCTAAGTGCCAGCACTACAGGCATGTGCTGCTACATCCAGAAGCAGGGCTCAGTTTTTCCACTTCGAGGACCCTGTGGCACTTACTTGAGCTGTGTGTGCTGGGCTGATCCTAGTCCTGGCTTTGTGCTGGGCTGGTGTATTCATAAAGGGATAGGAAGAGAGAAAGAGGCTCGAAGAAGGATGGGGAGAGCATTTTAAGAGAACAAGGTGGATATCCAAAGTGAAGGGCAAAGTGAAAAATAATGACCAAAAACGGTGGTTTCTGAGCAAGCATCCATGCCAGCTCTCTCTCATACACCCTCAGACAAGGCAGCCGGATCCCACCCAGGCAGTAATGGTCGCCTGGGAACATGAAACATGCTCACCGTGCTCTCACCAGCTTTCCCGAATTTCTTATCATGAGGAGGAAGCGTGGGGATGAAGAAGAAATCCCGGAAGTCATGTTCCCTTTGCTTTTGCTTCACACTTGATGTCTTTCGTGTGATGTCATGAACCTCGCCCTATACACGGTGACTCAGATCCTAAAGAGTCAGAGCTAAACAGCCCTCGGGGACAACTAGCCCTGAGCTTTTCAGCGTCGCAAGCACTAGACACACAAGCCTTCTGAGAGCTTGACATTCTGCTGGTCCAAATTGACCACTCTATATGTATAAAATAATCACTGGGCTTTTTAAAAAATATTTTTGAGACAGGGTCGCATTATGCTGTTCAGTCTTGAGCTTACTTTGTAGCCCAAGTGGTCTCGAACTCACAGTGATACTACTTCAGCCTCCCAAGCTCTGGGATTATAGGTGTTCACCACCACGCCTGGCTAATTGCTGGGTTTTTGAGGCTATGGTTTCACAAAATAATGCAAAAACAGTTCCATACTGTTTAAAAATATTGATTATATATTGAAATGATCATGTTATGGCTTGTGTCTAGATGTGCCCTTAAAGTCTCATGCTGTCCTAGGGTGGGACTTTTTCAGAGGTGGCTGGATCTAGAATTTGTGATGCTGGAATTAATTCATGGTGCAATGCTAGGTTCAAGGGTGCTAGGATCAAAAATGTGAGTGCTAGGTGCCCTAAGAAGCCTGGATAAGACATAAGTGATAGAAAAATCTGTGGTTGTCCCTTGTTTGCTTTGCTACCTCTGCCCACCATGACCTGCTTTTCCTCTGTGATGCCCCTCTGCACTGCCACCCTGCCTTGGAGCCAGTTGATGATGGACTAAAACCTCTACAAACAGTGAACTAAATTAAGCTTTCCTTCTTTAACTTGTAGGTGTTGGGTATTTCATTTCAGCAATGAGAGGAGTAACTAACACAGGGCTCTTTTGAGTTAAAGGAAATACATTGATTATAACAAACTAAGTGTAGTGCCACAAGCCTGTAATTCTAGCACTCTGGGGAACTGAGGCAGGAGGGTCATAAATTCAAGACCAGCCTGGGTAACTTAGTGAATTAATGAGACCCTGTCTCAAAATTAAAAATAAAATAAATGAAAGGGCTGGGGCTATAGTTCAGTAGGAATGGCCTGGTACACGCCTCAGTATTGCCAATCTCCCGCCCCCGCTATCCCCTACTGAACCCAGGGATTTTGCAGTCACTAAATTGCGCGGGCTGGGTTATAACTTTCTATCTTCCTTCCTTAGCTTCCCAGACTGCTGTGTATCATAGGCTGGCACTGTCACACCTGGCTTGTTCTTATTTCTTTTAATGTGGCTGCTAAAAAATGTAACATTGCATCTGTGCCTTGATTATAGTTCTTGTGTACAGAGGTGGTGTAGTTAAACTCCTCCTTTAACAGATGAGATCACTGAGGTGCTGTTGTTCCCAGTAACCCTCCTTGCTCATGCCCTTGGGATCCCTGAAGTGGAGCAGGTGGGTCTGAAGCTCCCTGGCCTGCAGGCCTCAAGGGAAATATTCAAGACTCAAGGCATTAGCTGTGGTCTCTTTGGAGTGAAATAAAAAGCTAGCATAGGTGGAGACTCTCACATTGCTTTGTTTTGGTGCTGGAGATTGAACCCAGGGCCTTGTGCATGTGTGAGGTGTCACATTTCAAAAGCACTTTAAACTGGGGAGAAATCTGTGTAGCCCTAGACCTTTTCTCATCAATTGTGGTGCAGAGAAGCAGGTTAGTGTGGCAGGTGTGCTGATCACCACCTTAAATTCACGGTTTCCCCTTCTTTCCTTGAGGCCGTAGGATAAAACCTAGCCAGGCCCTGAAGCCTAGGAACAGCTATTCTAGGATTGTTTGACAAATAAACAAAAGCAAGTTTTAGGGAACTGGCTTGATAACCGAAGAGGAGTGGGCTGTGCTCAGAGGGAGGGGGAACGAGGCACCAAAGGGAAATTTCTGTATTTCATAATTCTGGTGCCCCCACTCCCATTAACCTGCATTGTCAAGCCTTAGGGGAAATAGTGCAGAGATAAGAGATCGGTTATCTGGCCGCATTTGGAACAAGTGGCTTTGCTGACACAACTCTGGAGCGGGTCGGAAACTTCTCAGCTTTTACCTGGCTTCAGCTGGGAGCAGGTGGTCACCTCTTCTATTTGGCCGCCTTGTACCTGAGCGATGGACAGAAAGGATAAGGCAGGGGAAAGGGGACAGAGGCCGGCCTGTCCCGCGGAGATCAGCAAGCAGCTGCTAGGATCTGGCTGGCTCTTTCCAGCTCCGGGGACCAGGACGCCAGGGGGAGACCGGGCGTGGCTCCCCCCAGCAGGTGACCGCCCACAGGCGGAGGAGGAGCGGGTCCACCGTGGCCCCTGCCGTACCCGGGAGCGACTGTGCTTCTGACGTCAGAGGTTGTAGCTCATTCCCTGGCAGCGTGGCTTTATTTTCATAACAGCCTGAGCAGCCTGGACCCGGGATAGGCGTGTCCTCTGCCCTGCCCCTGCCCCGCCCCTTGTCCCTGCGCTCACCCGCTGGCTCTCCCGCTCGCTCCCTCCCTCCGGCGACCGCCGCCTTTATAACTGCCCTGCGGGGCGAGGGCTGGACCCAAGGAGGCTGGTGAGACGCTGCTGCCTCAGGCTCCCCCAGCACCAGCGGTCTAGGGCTCCCCTCCAACGCGCGGGAGGCAGCGCCAAGCTCAGGGTGAAAGCCGGACACAAGGGTAAGTGGGGCGCAAGCCCCCGAGCGCACAGGGCCTGCAGACTGGATCCCTGAGGGACAGTGGCGCTTGGGGGCGGTGGGGGGCAGGTGAGGCAGAAATCTGGGTGACAGAGCAGACTACGAGAACAGCACATGCACATAAACCCAATTCCTCCAGCTTAACGCAACTCAGAATTTGTTTTCTGCGCTTCCCAGGCTAAAATCCAGGCAGAGAGTAAAGAGATCACCAGGGTTAGAGTTTCTGCTCAGATCCATCCTGCAAACTCTGAGTAAGTGGAAACCTGGCCAGGCAGGAGGAGATTAGTTCTGGGATCTGTTTGGGGAAGAGGAGAAAGAGAGGAAGATCCTAGAGGAAGGGAAGGGGAAGGGAGAGGGGCTCGGAAAAGGGGTGGTGATGTGAACAGGTTGAAGGAGTTGGAGGACAGCCACTGCTGTACGGAGAGGGAAAAGTTTCCACTTACTTTGCTCCTTGGCCACAAGCATGTCCTTCTGAATTTTGAGGAGTTGCTGCTTCACTCTGTGAGGTGGTGGGTGCCACGGTGTTCCCTCCTCTGGGAAGCAAAAGCTGTCACACCCCTTCTCCCTCCCTCTACTCCCCTGGCTCCTGTGAGCTTGGAGCCCTGGCAGACAGAGGCTGAACGTGCAGGAACAGCTCACCTTTCACAAGGGCAAGGTAGTACTTGGGAATGGCCCCAGTGACAAAGATGGCCCTTTCGGTACCCTTGGGAAGGGCCAGCAAACAGCCCAGTCGTACTGCGGGTCAGGAGGCCCTGTCCTGTGCAGGCCAGGGTTCTCTTCATTGGGTTTGCTCAGCACCAAATCTGTTGGAGGGCTCCTCACAGTCAGGCCCTGCCAGCAGGGGTCAGGACCTGGGGTGGATTCTTCCTGAAGGGGAATTCTTTTTTTTTGAAGGGGAATTCTTTAGCCACTCTAGATACTAGGGCCAGCAGCATGTGGGAGGGTACAGGTGCTGGAAGAGGGAAGGAATGAGAGGAAGGGTGGAGAGACCATACCTGAGAGCCAGAAGTGACTGCTTCAAAGGTAGGAGAGCAGAGGGCTCCACCACCCTGAAGAAAGCAGTGAGTCGAACAGTGTGGCTCCTAAGAGGAGCTCTCAACCTGGAGTCCAGGAGCCTGCAGTTTTGGTGACTGTAGGGACTTGTCCTCAGGCAAGGCCGGGCCTCGCCTCCTTATAAGAAGGGGGAAGACTTTAAGCTACTTTCCTGTATTAAGATTCTATCTGATCTAAAGAGCCAGGCGTGGTGGCTTGTCCCTGTAATCCCAGCACTCGGGAAGCTGAGGCAGGAGGATCATTGCAAGTTCGAGACCAGCCTGGGCTACAAAGTGAGCTCAAGGCCAGCCCGAACTGCATAGCAAGACCCCGTGTCAAAAAAGGCAAAAAAAAAAAAAACAAAAACAAAAACAAAAACAAAAACAAAAACAAAACAAAAAAATTCTATCTGCTCTGTATCTAAACATGTAGGAGTCTTGTCTGTATATTTTTGTTTTTTGAGGCAAGATCTCACTATGTCTTTCAGCTGGGTTTGAACTCTGTAGCACAGGGTAACCTCAAACTTGCAGTAATTCTCCTGCCTCAGCCTCCCCAGTGCTAGGGTTACAAGTGTGTGCCACCACACCTGGGGTTGGAATCTTCTTTGGAAGCTGCTTTTAATATATTCGATTTCTTAGTGGTAACTGAAGGTTTACAGAGAATGGAGAAGAATTTTGACTGTATGATTTTTTTTTTCTCTTTTCATTCTGGGTTCACAGCTATTTAGAAATTTACAGATTGAGCTGAGGAAATGCTGTGGTATTACAGAAAAGGATAAATGGAAGAGTATTTTTGCTCAAGAGGGACTTTGATTTCCAGAGTTGTTATGTTTGTTTCTACTTTTATTCCTGTTTATATAATATTGGGGTCAGAATATGCGGTCAGTACATTTCTTATTTTATAATTTCAGATTTTCCTTTGTGTTCTAAGATATGCTCATTTTTTGGTCCACATCCCATGACACTGACATAGACACAGTTGAATAAGGCAGGGGTAGCAAACTATGGTCTAAGGACCAAATGTGAGACATGCGCTTTTTATGTATCAGGTTTTATTGGAGCAGATGCGAGCTCATTTACCTGCTTGTTTGATAGAAAGGGGTGGGGGACAAAGCTTGCTTATTGGGTCTTTGTAGCATACATGTTTGCTGATCACTGACACAGAGAATCTGAATTATATGATTTATTTGTCTTTTTTTTTTTCTTTGGGACGGGGTCTATGCTGTTCAGGCTGGCCTTGAACTCTCTATGTAGCTAGACTGGCCTCAAACCCACAGTGATTTTCCTGCCTTAGTCTCTCAAGTCCTGGAATTATAGGTATGAGCCACCACACCTGGCTGAATTGTATGATTAATCATAGAGAACTAAAAAGATATGAAAACAGAGAATATTTCCTTTAGAGCATCCAAAAGCATTTATAAAAATTTACTGTACTATTATTTAATTTGTGTATTTTATTTGCCAAGGGCTGATAATGAAGTACTTGACTTCTAACTATAGTATTTCTTTTGGTTTCTCCTTCTTATTGATAGTTTTTTTTTTTTTTTTTGTACCGGGACTTGAACTCATGACCTCACACTTACCAGGCAGGTGCTTATGCTACTGAGCTAAATCCCTGGCCCTCTTATTGATAGTTTTCGTCTTAAATATTTTGGTGCAACATTACTTGGTACATGAAAGTTAACAATGGTTTTATCTTCAACATGGACTATTCCTATTCATGAAGCAAGCGTTTGGGTTCATATCATACCTTTTTTGTCTTGTCTACAACTTTTTGTGTTACTGAAATCTCAAATCCTGCTTAATTCTTTTAATCTTCTGGAAGCTATTTAAATTTGTGTGCCTGACTCATACTAACTTGGTGCCTGTTAGATAAATCGTAATAAATATGAGTGTTCTTTCTCTTCCATTTATTTTTGCCCTCCTGTGTTTCAGCCTTTCTCAATTCCTTTGTTTTAGGTGATTTTCTTATGGATAAAATAGTTTAATTTAGTGTTACCATTTACATTTATTGCAGTAGTAGTTGCTTGCAGTCATGATCTCACTTTAGGTTACCTGGTCTGCTCTTCCTCACTTCTTTCCCATTGGTCAGTGCATATTGCATTTTTAAATCTACGAGGCAACTAGGTAGATAGTAATGCCATTCTCAGTGCTTAGATACACCAGCTTTTATGGAGAAGTGATAAGTTTAAATTTGGACTTGTTGGATTTAGTGTAAATGCATTGTCATTAGTTTTTTTTAGGTTGTATGTTCCTTGAAGAGACTTGGCACATGTACAGAGCACCTGACAACTTCCTCTCCTTGAATCTCATTTCCCTTGCCCTCACCTACCCCCTAATTTCTGGGTCCTCTTACATTTTGAAATCAGTATTTAAATGAGGGCTCTTGGGGAGCTTTCAGATATCAGCATGTATCTTCACTTTATTCTCTTATTTGCTGGAAACTTCATGTCTCAGAATTCTAGCCATAAGAAATTTGGAAGCTTAATTCAAAATTTTAAGGTAAAAAATGATTTTGAGGGTCGGGGGTTTAGCTCAGTGGCCTAAATGCCTGCTTGGCAAATGTGAGGTCATCAGTTCAACCCCTGGCACCAAAAAAAAATTTTTTAAAAAAATATTTTATTTTTTATTTATTTTTTTGAATATTTTATTTTATATTCACATTAATCTGAAGTTTTCCTGCTCTGTTTAGAATGAACAGAAGATGGTAATACTGCCAGGAATCTGCCTGAATGTCCAAAAAATGAAATAAGCATAGTTTTTATACTTGTTTTGAGCTGCCCACGGTACTATGGTAGTTTATTTCCTTTAGTAACTATGGAAAGTCAATTCAGTGATGCTAGTCATATGTTACTCATCTAATGTTGTCATGATGCATCAGTTTTATGTCCTTAGGACTGGGATGGCCACTCGTAACAGGAGATCTGAGTGATGTCCCTGTGGATATTTTCCCTGTATATAATAATTTATCCTTCATCAAGGGCACAGAAATTTCTGTGAGACTCTTCCTTTAGAAGAACTTAGCCTGGACAAACATATGAGAATTAGCATCAGTGCATTTTCACCCTCAAAAACTTTTCCTTCCTATTACTCACACTTGCTTTTATGATCTGTGTCTAGATGTTTCCCCAAAGCCTCATGCAGTCATAGGTGGGGCTTTTCCAGAGGTTTCTGGATTTAGAATGTCTGACACTGGAATTGATACATGGTGCAATACTAAAATCAAGAGTCCTAGGATTAAGGGTTTGAGTGCTACCCAGTGTAAGTAGCCTGGATGAGATATAAAGGACAAAAGAGGCTGGGATTGTCCTTTCCTTGCTTCTGCTGTCTTATACTTGAAGCGAACTGTTTCTCTTTGGCGATGCCCCTCTGCTATGTGCTATTCTGCCTTGGAGCCAGACAAATACAGACTGAAATCTCTACAAACTATAAACTAGATAAACTTTTCCTCATTTAACTGATAAATGTTAGGTATTTTGTCTCGGCAGTGAGCAAAGTGAGACAAATTTGGCACCAGAGAAGTGGAGTTGTTGCTGTGATTGTACCTGACCATGTGGTTTAGGAGACTTTGGAGCTGGCTTGTGGGAAAGGGAAGAGTTAGAAAAGGTTGGTAGATGCTGGCTGAAAACCTAGAGCTGGAACCCCTGAGGCTGTACTTAATGGGAGATTCTGGCCAGACCTCAGATGATGAGAATGCTGATAGAAATTCTGCTGGTAAAGACCAAATTCAGGAGGTTTCTGTTGGAAAGGACTGCATTGGCTGTTGGACTCCAGATGATATGTGTTATGCCTTGGAAGAAAGTTTATCTATGTTTTGCTTGTGTCTAGAGACTTTTCTTGAGACTGAGATTACGGGTGGCAAATTAATCTGGCAGAAGAAATTTCAAGGCAATCTAATGTTGAGGCAGTGGCATGGCTGCTGTTAGGGGCTTTCAGCTAGATTTAAAATGAG